ACCTTTTCACTTAACTGATCCCTCTTTCTTGTAAGCACCTCCCCCATGACAATAACTGTGTGATGTACTGCCCAGATTTCATCCAGGTGCTCATATGTCTTCATCTGAGATCTTCCCTGTCCTAATGTAAAATAGCAACTCAATCTCTGTCACTCCATATATTGCCCACTCTTTTTCCTCTACAAGTCAGCAGTTCCTATAGATATTGAATGCTTATTTTTTTTAATCTGTCCAGTTTCCCACCAGGTCTGGATGTTTGTCTATATGGATTGCCTCTGTGTCTTCAGTACTTAGAATAAAGTTTGCATGTAATACCTGCTCGTAAAATATGTACAGAATAGGGGATGAGGGTGTAGCTCAGTGAAGGGGAGAGGGGGAATGCTTACAAGCATTCACAAAGCCCTGAATTCAGTCCCCAACATATACATGTGTGTGTGTGTGTGTGTGTGTGTGTGTGTGTGTGTAGAGAAACAACAGTATTAAAAAAAAAACCAGATATCTCACACTTTGCCAAGAGGACACTTAAGCTTATACTACTACAGTGAGAAAGGGGAAAAAATCCCAAGTTTCTGCTACAATGCAGAACACTTCTGTGTCCCCCAAATATATGGGTTCCCCTGCCATACACACATACCAAACAATTCAGCAGATTCTCCAGTGGACAAGCTGGGTCCCTTCTAATTCAATTTAATTCTTACATTGTGTATATAACCTATTGGCTATAAACTGAGATTCCCACAAACCCCTCCTGGGTTCAATTAATTTGATAAGTAGCTCCAAACTCACAGAAACAATAATTTATTATTGTAAATGATATTACAAATTATATAAATGAACAGCTAGATGGAAGAGATGCATAAGGTGAGGTATGAGAGAAATAGGAGAAGAGGCATAGAGTTTCCAAGCCATTTCTGGACATGCTACCTTCCAGCAATTTCCACCTGCTAAGCCACATGAACCCACTCCTTCTGTGTTCTCTATGGGAGTTTCATTTCCTAGGTGTGATTGATTGGATCATTGGGCATTGATGATTATCCAGCAGTCCCTCTCTGCTCCCTGGAGGTGGTAGGTGGTACTGAAAAGTTCCCACCAGCTAATCTTGACTTCATCTTTCCTGTGACAACCCTCATCCCAAAGAGGAGCTCCTAGTCATCAGTCAGCTCAAGAGCATACAAAAGACACTCATCATTCTGGAAATTCCAATGATGTTAGGAGTTGTGCACCAGAAAACAGGGATACTATAGAATTCTTAAAACTGTTGAAATCACCATAAGAAGGGGACTAAGGTAGAAGAAAGGAGAAAAATAGAGGAAGTAAATCTATCTGGATTATAATGCATATATACATGGAAATGTCACAAGGAAACTCTCTGTATAGCTATCTTAAACAAATAGAAATGTCATTTTGTTCTTTTACAAAAATGGAGAATAAGAAGGCAGAACAGTTCTGGCCTAGTAGTTAGGGGAGGATGTGGGAAGAGGGTGTAGGAGGATGAATATGGTGCCAATACTGTGTACAAATGTATATAAATGGAAAAACGGGACCAGTTGAAACTATTCCAAGAATGGGGGATAACGGAGAATTATGGAGGGGGTGAGTTCAACTATGATATACTATAAGAACTTTTGGAAATGCTACAATGTATGTCCTGGGGAGTGGCTCAAGCGAGAGAGTGCCTGACTCACAGGTATGAGGCCCTGAGTTCAAACCCCAGTACCTCCAAAAAAAAAAAAATTCATTACAATGTACGTCCAGCATAACAATAATTAAAAAAAATGGGGATGAGGACCAAATGTAAATTTCACAATATCACAATCACCATGTTCTGAAGTCCAGATTTTATTTAAGGGCCATTTATTTCTTACAGATAAATAAATATCTAATTTGAAAAAATAGAATTAAAATAGATTTATTGATAACTACTGTCTTTTGAGAGGCTTTCCATGACTGCCACAGAGTGCAGGCAAAAGACAATGTTGAAGAGTCAATGTGGAGAAGGATTCGGAGTCACTGATTGGTACAAGTTGCATAATGTAAAGATTGTGAGTTAACACTCATCTAGAGCAAGATTCATCAGAGTGTGAGCAATGGTAAAAGGTTCCTTACATGCTGCAGTTATTACAATAAGTTCCACAGATTAGAGTATTATCTATAGACTACATAAGTGATAAATCTCTCATAAATCATATTTTGAACATTTAAATGATTGATAAATACAAATTTGTTTGCAAGTATTACTAAATTCATAGGGTTTATTATAATGTACCTTTTTAACTAAAGGTTCATAAAAAGAAAAATACATATGTAGGGAGATCGTGCTTAAAAGAGCTTTAAGCTGGAAAATACTGAAGCCCATTATTAGAGGATAAACCACACAGTCATGGTTTTTCTGCAGAAAGTTTACATGTAAAGGCTACTCGGCAGGTAATCTAACAAAACTTAAAACCAAGGCTTGTCAGAACAGAGAAGATTTTCTGGTAAATTAATTTCTGATCAGAACATAATTCAGCAATCCTTTTAAAACAGACAATCTAATCCAAATTCCTCATAATGTCATCACAATGTCCACCATTCAATCAAAAGTTACTTTGTTACAAAGAAGTAACAAAATGAGAGGTGGTGAAAAATCACGAAGAAGGGAATTGGAGGATATAGATACTAATATGTTGGATTTAGTAGGCAAGTACATAAAAAAGCTCTTATAAGCAACTGTTATCCATATTTTAAGGACCGAAAGCAAAATATATGGCTTTAATGCATTACCAGTGGTGAAATGTCAGAGAAATAGAAAGTATACAAAAGTCAGTGAAAAATAATATACAGTTTTAGTGCATTAAAACTAAAAAATGCATGGCAATTCTACAACCAACAAACAGAATATTTGAAGTAGAAAAAAAATCACCGGATGACTTTAATAGTAGATTTGAGATAATAGAATAAAGACTTGGTGAACTTGAGGATAGATCAGTACAAAGTATTTAATCTGAAAAATAAGAAAGCAATTTTTTTTTTGTTAAGAAAGCAATTCTTAAAAAATGCCAAAAATCTTTTCTGACACACTGGTACATTCCTATAATTTTAGCTACTCAGGAAGCTGAGCCAGAAGGATCAGTTGAGCCCAAGAGTTCAATTCCAGCCTGGGCAACATAAAAAGATTGTATCTTAAAAAAGAAAGAAAGAAAGAAAGAAAAGCCTCCCATACCAGTGGTACAATATTGTACTGTTTATAATACATGTGCCTGAAGACCAGAGGATCAGAGAGAAAATAATGCAGAAAAAATGTTTGAGAAAACAATGATTGAAAATTTTCCAAATTTATTTCAAAACATCCATCTACATGTTCAAGAAGCTTGGGAAACTCCAGAAGTAGAAATATAAAGGAAAGGCCCTAGGACACTCTAGTCAAAATGTTGAGAGATGGAGATGAGAAAATCTTCAAGGCATGCACGATAAATAAAAAGCACATTGCATACAAGCAAATACCTATACAAATGATGGCAGACTTCTAATCAGAAACAATATACACCACAAAATATTAAAACGGTAACCTTAATATGTTCAAAAATAACAAATATCTGTCAGGTAAGTATTAAATATGTAGCAAAATTGTCCTTCAAAAATAAAAATGTGACTCAAAGGTAGAGTTCTTGCATAGTAAGTGCCAAGCTCTGTGTTCAGTCCCCAGTACCACAAAACAACAACAACAATATCAACAGCATTTTCAGATAAAAGCTGAGAAATTTGTAACCACAGATCTACACTCTTTGAAGCAAAGTTAAAAAGAATGTAGTGGCATGCACCTGTAGTCCCAGCTCCTCTAAGGGCTGAGGGGGAGGATCACTTGCCAGTAGCTCAAAGCTAGCCTGGAAACACAGAGACCTCATTTTAGAAAAGAAAAAAAGGGTAAGAATAATAAAGAAAACTTCAAATTTAAGACAGAGAATGATTATCTAAAGATGAGAATGTTTTCAAAAGATTAGACTCTTATCTTTTCTCTTTATTTCCAAAAATAACAATTTATTATTTAAAGCAAATAAAAGTAATAATTGTAAGGTAATGTTTACAAAGAATGTATAACTAAAATTCATAACAAAAACACAATGTAATGAGTGAATCAGTGAAAATAAATTTCCATGAGGTTTAAATGTGAAAAACTCAGAAGTTAGGAGGAGAGAACATGAACCAATTAATTCATTTTATGTGTCCAGAATTGTGCTGACCATAAAACCTGGCAGAGATATTTTATAAAAGTAGCAACATAGACCCATATACTCGTGAAGATAGATCCAAAAATCTTCAACAACATTTTATCAGATTAAATCCAGAAATAAGACAAAAAGGTTAACAGTTAAATACCCAGTGTTTAACCCATAAACAGGCCCTAGAAGGCTCCTCTTTTAAGGAGATGAGGGTAGCTTAGCAACAAAGGAAAACTCACCACTGCTGCCCTGATACGGGGTTGGCTACAGAATTGTATAGAGTTTAACTGGGATTTTGATGATTGGTTGTTTCTTTCTCATGGGTTGTGTTGATTGGTTATTTGTTCCTTGGATCATAGTTTGAATTTAATTCGCATGGGAACATCTCCTGAGAGTGGATTCCTGATCCCATCTGGCCCATTTCACTTGCTTGACTCATTTCCACATTCCATCCAGTCAGTCCTTGACATTTTTCCACCTGCCCTGTTTCCTTAAAAGGGACCCTCCTTCACATCATTAAACATTTTACATTGCAATATTCAGTTAATATTATGTATATATGTGAATGTCTAAATAAAAATCCTAAGAAATCTAAAAGCAACTACTAGAAATAATAATAAAGCAAGAGAACAGTGTAAACATTGAGATGCAAAAAGCAATTGTATTTCTATCTGTTAGTAACATATAATAAGAAAATGGAAGTAAAAGTTAAATTTACTGTAGCATCAAAATGCATAGAAGTTTTAGGATTGAGTTTAGACGGTCTGCTGTCCCAGAGTCCGAGCTCGCTGGCTGGCGGAGATGCCTGCCCCAGGCCTGGCAATGGCGAGTGGCCAGGTGCTCCCGGCCTTCCTGCTCTGCAGCGCACTGCTCATCATGAAGATGTACGTGGTAGCTGTCATCACAGGCCAAGTGAGGCTTCGGAAGAAGGGCTCACCGGAACGACATGGAGACCATCTATCCCTTCCTCTTTCTGGGCCTCGTCTACTCTTTCCTGGGCCCTAACCCTTTCGTGGCCTGGCTGCACTTCCTTGTCTTCCTTGTGGGCCGTATGGTACACACTGTGGCCTACCTGGGCAAGCTGCGGGCGCCCATCCGCTCAGTGTCCTACACCCTGGCCCAGCTCCCCTGCGCGTCCATGGCCCTGCAGATCCTCTGGGAGGCAGCCCGCCACCTGTGAGCAGCAGCTGACACCTCCTCGGCCACCAGACTGGGATGAAAGCCACTGTGGCTATACCTGCAGACTTCGTGTCACTTCCAGATTGGATAGTTCCAAGTCCTGGTTTCCTGGCCACCCATGAATGATGGGTCTGGGCCCAGTGGGCCTCTCAGTGTGAGTGTGTGCATGAATGTGCGTCCAGGTTTATGAGACCTTTGAATTCCTTAGAAAGTTGTTCAGCTTAAGTAACAGAGTGTTAGACATTGCTTTCCTAGCTGGGCACCAGTGGCTCGTGCTTATAATCCTAGCTACAGAGATCAGGAAGATCACAGTTTCAGGCCAGCCTGGGCAAATACTTTGTGAGACCCCCATCTCCAAAATAGCCAGAGCAAAATGGACTGGAGGTGTGGCTCAAGCAGTAGAACACTTGCTTTGTGAATGTGAAGCCCTGAGTTCAAACCCCAGTCCCACCAAAACACAAAACAAATCACTCCCTCTCCTGCCCTAAGAGGAAGAAGAAAGAGGGGAGACTCTTCAGAATTCTCAAATCCGTACTTCTCAACCCACTAGGATGCAGACTTCTAGACTGTGACTTCTTCCACCCCCCAGAGATCTGGCACAGCCAGTCAAAGGGAAAGCCTGGCTGTGTGGGGTTTGATTTTGGTTTGGTTTGGTTTCTAGAGTCAGAGTCTCAGGCTGGCTTTGAGCTCCCAATTCTCCTGCCTCAGCCTCCTGAGTGCTGGGATTATAGGCCTGTACCACCACGGCTGGCCCACGTGTTTTAAAAAGGCCTCCATGAGAGTTCCAGGGATGGAAAGTTCCCACTGGACATGGGATGCTTGTGACTTTTATGGAGGGATGGCTGTCACCGTTTCCTGTGGACACTTCCCTTGCCCTTCACTCCCAGTTTCTCAGCTGGCTCCTCCTCCATGTCTCAGGCAGGTAGGAAGTTCTCTTCAAGGCTTTGGTTGCTCCACAGAGCTGTCAGCTTGGGACAATGGGCTGTGAGTGACCAATCACTAAAAGGAACTTTCTGTCTCCTCCAGTATTTGTGAGATTTGAAAACTTAATGTGGGGAATCACGAGCGTGCATGCATGTGTGTGTTGTCTTGTCTTGAGACCTGTGTGGTTTTTCCTACATCATTAAATAGCAGTGCCTGACCTGTGCAGCCACTTTCTCTTAAAAAAAAAAAAAAAAGGATTGAGTTTAAGGAATATATGCAAGACATCTAGCCTGAACATTGTCTTCAGTTCTATGAGTAATATTTGGTATTACTGTATTATTGGTATCTGTAGTCATGGATCAGAAGAAAAAATAGATTATGAGGTTATTGTTCTCAAAAATTGATCTATAGATATAGTGCAATTTCATTTAAATTTCCAATAGGCTTTTTTGGTAGAAATTGACAAGTTGACTTGCAATGCAAATACTAAATGTTCAAAACAATTTGTGAAAAGAACAAAGCTGACTGATTTGCACTTCTGGTTTTCAGATCTTATTAAACTACAGTAAATAGGACTGCAAAATTGGCATTAGGAAATAATTCAGTGAAATAAAATAGAGAATCTGGAAATTCCATGTATTTGTTTAGCTGATTTTCTTTCATAAATGAGGCAGACTAGAATAGGGAAACTTTGGGATTCATAAGTAGGTTGCCTAGGGATGGCCCAGATCACCCTCTCCTTGAGGGAATCTCCCATGCCCCTCCCTGCTTACTGATTATTGGATGAGAATCACCTGGTTCCTCCCTTCCCATAGATTAGTGTAAATTTTAAAAGTACCTAAAAAGAGAAGCTTGCTCTCTCCACCTCCAGATTCCACCTGCCCTACCATGCTCCCCTTTGTAATTTCCTTTCCTAACTTACAATAAACCCCATTTACACCCCAAGCGGTCTGCTTGGGTTGTGCGATTCTTTCACACCAGAGTGCAAGAACCAAGATCTTCTGGAAAAAATTTTTCCATTAACAGAAAAATGCCATGGATTGTCTTGTTAACAACTGAAGGAATTACTATTTTAGAAAAGTGACAGGTACTAATTCTAAATATACTCATCTTACGGAACTGCCTATAAAAATGTGGCCATCAAAACAAACATCATTTTGTATCTGTTTTCCCTTGTTTCTACCTCATTTTCTTTACTTCTTTTGCTTCTGCTGCTCTTACATTTCCCAATAAGTGGTAACATGCAGTTAACACTTAAGTTTTGCCACAGCTTCTGTTTCTAATGGCCCCAGGCAAGTTAACTGATAGAAGGAGTGGCTCCCAGGAGCTAATCCTCAGTATTATAAGGTTAATCATTCAGGTTCTAGAAGCCATAGGGACTCATTCCATTGCTATTATTAATCAGAGTATCAAAAATTCCTGACCTCTGATGGAATCACATTTATTAAAGCTTTCACTTTTGCTTAAGTAAAGAAGTAGGGATAGAAGGAAGACCATCAGAAGGTGAAGTAGTTTTTACAACTGATTGACATAGAGGCATTTATAATAACCAGGTTCTAAAAGCTAGGAAAAAATTTTTTTTAAATCCTTGATTAATCTTCCATAACAAAGGGAAAGAATGGGTCCTGAAGTCTTGAGAAGAAGATATTTGGGTGTTTGACCCTCCTAAATTCCCTGGGCTGTCATAGCCAGCAGAACCAGTCCTTGCCACTTGCCAGAAGAAAACAGCCTAATTTAAAGACCATGTAATAACCTCATTCATGACTGACTTGCAATATGACCATTGGTGTTCTAGGGATCCATGACTGTCATTGCCTGTTGTCTCCAGGACTGTTGATCAGGTATTAAAACAACTTGAATAGAGAATTATAAACCTCAAAACTTCTGTTGTGATTTCTTGAAGCCTGGAAGAAATGGCGATTGTTTATAGTAAATGAAGGTGAAATGCTGGAATGTCCATGCCATTTAACTGAAGGATTTTTTTGAGAAGACTCAGGGAAGTGGGAAAATCGGAAAGAAATTGTTATGCAACACCTCAGAACTATCACCTAAAGCCCAGAAAGCACTGCCTCACTAAGGTAAAAATAAATGCATAGGTGAAGACCATGCTGAAATCACTGGAAATCTTAGTGATAGTTTCCTTCATCCATGGAAGATGCTGCTATAGAGCTAAGCTACCTTATAAGTGTGGGGAAAATAAGCACATGACTTTACAATGGTTCAGATCAAATGGAAAGCTACATGGGCAGAAATTGTGGAGTAACAAGTCTATCTCTCAGTGGGCTTACTGTCTATATACTAATCTTACGATTAATTCCACAATCAAACAAATATGTAACTGAAATGTGCACACTTAGCAGTTGAAAGAATTCTTGCATGGATTCTTTGACCTTTGGAAAAGTGACAATTCAAGGTGGCAAGTAGAAATATCTAAAACTGCATCCCCTACCCCAAAGATAATAAGTAAGAAATAATATCATATTCCAAAAGAGTTTAAGAGATTCAAGATACCATGAAAGATTTAAAATATAAAGGAACATTATTACTCAGCATTTTCCTGATCAATTGATCTGTTTGATCTCTGTAATAAACAGATAGTGGGAAGCTTCCATAACTTTAACAAAATCATAACAGTATTCATTGCTTTCTGTCTGATTTCAAGAACTGGGAAGGGTCTGAGATTTTACTCTATTTGCAAGAAAATAAGTTATTCTGCTACAATTTCATGAAATTCATGGGCAGAAATTCATGGCAGAAATCATAAAATTCCTGGGTTAAAAATAAAGGATAGTTTATTACTCACAGAAATAGCAGTGTCAAGATCATCAACTTTCACCAGCTCCCAAGCCTCAGTTCACAAAGGGCAATGGGAGGAGCGCCAGGGATTTCTGCACTAAAGGGTTGTATTACAGAAGAGGAACATCAAGCTTTTAAGACCCTGACTCTTTGATAATGGTCACTAAGCTTGCTTGATCTTTGTCTTGATGGGACATATGTTTTTATTTTTATTAAATCCAGACTAGAAATAAGCCTATTCTTTGCTCTAAAGGGAGAGGCTATCTCTATTTTCCAGAGCTATTTGCTATGCAAACATCCCTGAAGACATAGTCTGGAGCAAAGGTAACAGAGAAATGTGGGATATCCATTGAAAAATGATTCCCAACACCAGATGTTTTATCTTTTTTTAAGCACATTAATCCAGCCATTGGCATTTGGTACACTGTCATCAAATTAGTGATCTCTTTATTGTGGAGGATCAACTATAGTTTGCCTTTACGTACTATGTTACTTCTCCTAGAATCTTTTGTAATATCGTCTTTGAGTATCTTGGCTATGTTGATCATTTTCACAACTTGTAGAATATAATTCTAATCTCTTCTGCAGATAACTTCATTCAGATTTGCCTTGTGTTTTAGTGAATTTTCTGATGCTATAACAGAATACCTGACAATAGGCAATGTATAAAGAAAAGTGTTTTATTTGGCTTTTAATCATATTGGCTAGAAAATCTAAAAAGCATGGTTCCACCCCATGTGGCAACAGAAAAGAGGATCAGAAAGGAAAACATCCACATTCAGAAGAGGCACATGTGTGAGCAAGGAAGTAAGAGAGTGGAGAGGAGCCAGGTTCATTTTTTATAACAACTCTCTCTCATGGTAACAAGTCCAGTCCTGTGAGACAGCGTTAATCCACTCATGAGCATAGATCCCAGAGTATCTAATTACCCTCCACTAGACCACACCTCTTAAAGTTGCCACCACCTCAATATTGCCACACTGGGGACCAAGCTCTCAGAAAATGAATCTTTGGGAAAAAAATCAGATTCAAGCCATAGTACCTCATAAGCAAAAGAGGCAATTGTCTTCAATGTTCTAATAGGAAAAATGTGCCCCATAAAGATTCAAGAGTAAGGATCTGAACTAAACCAGGATAAGCTTATTTCAAAGAGACATTTGGCAATGTCTGGAGATATTTTTGGTTGTAAAAATCAGGAAGGGAGGTGACATCAAGAAGATAGAGGTCAGAGGAGCAACTAAACATCCTATAATGTACAAGATAGCCCCTCCTTCCATAATA